CCCCAAAAAAGCAGTTTTTTCATTGCCTAATAACACAAAGCGCGCACACACAAAAAACTCCAATGAAAAAACAATTATCCAAATCACTTTAGCCCTTGACTCTAAATTCCACAAGTGATAACAATTTAAAGAACTTTTGAAGAATATTTAACACAACTCTTCATCAGTACACAAGAAAAAATTCAAACAGGTTACATATTAATACTTATGGTACTTTAATTTTACCATAGTCCTTTGCTTCTTTCCTTCTAATAAGCATCGGAATTTGATTGGTTGAACAGATAACTGTAGCCAGAGGCAAGGCTGTATAAGGTACTCCACACACAGTGTCAAAACTGATTCCTGCATTTTGAGCAGTTTGAAATAAAATATCTGCAACCTGCAAGAAAATGAACACATAAACTACTTGTTATCATTACTATTTAAAATGGTGTGTGAATCATGTAACAACATAAAGATAGAAATAACCCAGTGGAGGTGAGTGTCAAACCCAATGGGTAGGTAGAGAGACGGAATAAATGCCTTTTTATTAAATCCTAGGATAAACTGATGTGATTCTGCAATCTGTATACGGGGTAAAAACGGGAGTTCATAACCCACTTGAATCAAAGTGTGAAATATATCAAGAACTATGTAATGTTTTGAACAACCAATAAAAAAAAGAAAAAAAAATCCTAGAATACATATATCTAAGTCCATATGGATCATTCAAAACCAGACAAACAATAGGCTTTCTAAAGTTATAAACTCAGAAGGGAAAACATTCATTTAGACTCATTACTAAAATCTTAAATCCTGGGATACAAGCATGAACACCAGAATGAACCTACTGGACTCAGGCTCCACTTTGAGGGCAACATGAGTATACTGGGGAAGGTCATGGTGTTGAACACCAAATATAAGGATGGTCCCCAGATTTCCAAATTTCCTTTAGTAATCCATTATGATTTGAGTACTGAAAACTACCACTTGCCAGTTGTATTTTCTGAAGGAAATTTCAGAAATATAGAGTTTCACAAATATAGAGCCTACTGTGTAAAATATATTTTATGATCTTTTCTCACATAATCACATTTTAATGTTAGAATGCATACTCCCAACCCAATGTTATCCATTAGAAAAGAAAAGCAATCAGTCCCTTCACAGACTAAAGGTCTTTAAAATATTTTACACCTATACTTCTAAATGTTTTCACATCTATGAATACTTTTAAGGTGCAAAGGATGTAATTTCTGGTATTAAAAATATTAATATAGCCTAAAACTATTATATTACTGTTTTAATGAATATACTTGGAATCCAAATGCTGTCGGTGATTTGCTATCTGCCATTTCCATTACAACAGGCCTGCTCAACAACCTGGTTTTGATCCTCACCACCTCAAAACCAAACAAAAAGAATAATAAAAAGCAAAAACTCTAGACTATGAAAGCTGGAAAATATATATATATTTTTCAAACTCACATTCTCACTCCACTGTGTCCACAGAATTTTATTCCAATATATTTCTGCTTGAATAGCTTTTACTGATTCTTCTACCATATTTCTCTAAATGTATGTAAACTGAAAGGTATGTACATTGGAATTTAAAATTGTAAATTTAAAAAACTTACCATGATCACAAGTCTCTAAGTGTAAGAGACATTAACAGTTAACAGAATAGTTACATTAATTATGCGGGCAGTTAATTAAAGCACCTGGCAAATGCTGATAGAAGTATAAAACCATCATTTTAGAAACACATTTCTTATATAAATGATACCCTTCCCCTCCAATTAGTTTAAGGTCACTAAGGTCCACACAAAATGGTAGTTAAACATTATTTATTACTAGGAAGTTCAAGGTCAGCATAAATTTTGCTTTTAGGAAGTATAATTACGGAAAAGCCGTATTTACATAAATAAGCAGTTGTGAAAAGAAAATTTTTTTTGTTATACAGCCAGGTCTCAAAGTTTTGAACTCCTTCCTCCTCAATCAACTACCAAGTCTCTCTCCCTCACACACACATACACACCACGATGTAGCATCAAAAAATAATTTTGTCATCAACCAATGACTTTTTAAAATAAACCAAATTTTCATTAGAAAATTCTTACTAATTCACTTTCCCTACTGATGAGATACACTATAGCAAAATTCTGCATCTTATCATGATTCTGAATGTTGAGATTCTGGATGATTAGCAGTCCATCCACCACCACTGGTGCTTCCGTTCTTTTTACAATAACTACAAAAGTGGATGCCCAAGGAACATAAACCTTAAGTGCGTGGAAAGAATTTATGGAACTTACATGGTAGCCAATGGTCACATGTGACTATTTCAGTCTTAAAATTCAGAAAGCTCAATGTCCCTATGTGGTTAGTAGCAACTCTTTTGGATAGCATATTTAGACCTTTCTCCTCAAATTATGGTCTACAGATTCAGCTGATAGCGGCTACAAATACAAAACCTCAAGGTATTACCGCAGAGCTACCGAGCCCAATCCTGAATTTTAACAAAATTCCTAGGTGATTCAAATGGTGATTTCCCATCTGCCATTTATATATTATATAAAGTCTGAGAAGCACCGTGCTAAAAACAGCTAACGTGTACAAAGTTTACCCTGATATTGACTAAAAGACCCAGCCTTCTGATGCCTACCTCTGTCCTTAATTTCTGGCCACACAATACAAAATTGAATTTGCCCTTCTAAGCAAGAGCCCTTCCAAATACGTCTCCAGCTACTCAATTTTCCGCCCACTCGTCTTTTTGTTTCTTTAAATCTAACTTTCTGGGGGCTAAATACACAGAACTCATTAGCGGACTTGAGCCCAAAGTGCGTTTTTCCACTCCCGCAAAGCACGAGTCAAAGGTGGTCGGCTAAGAACAGGCTACTAAGGTCCTAAAGAGCCCAACAACCTCTGTGCCTCTCAAGTCTACTCCCCCAGGCGACAGAGGGTGGGCTTGCCTGCTCTTTTGCTCTCACCCACAGCCCAACTCGTGTCACCCTCCCTTCACTTCCTGGTCCCCTTTCCCGCCACCCTGAGCAGTCCTTCCCCTTCGGGCTGGCACCTGACTCAGAAGACGAGGTCGAGATACGATGCCCCGCAGATCTATGTAGACGGGGGAAGAAAGTCCGCTCTTCAACACGAAGTTCCCAAACTTGAAAGCCTGCACGTCGTACAGACCGGTCACCAACGGCCCCAAAGCAGTGCCAGGAGCCGCCATGTTGTAGCGCTTCCACTTTGCTCCAAAACGCTGAGGCGCGCTTTTAGTTCCTGGCGCCCCGGTGACGTCACCGAGAAACCCCGCCTCTTCCACCGCCCTTTCCGGCCCACTGCGCAAGGTTGGAACGAGTCAGCGAGTTTAACGCTAGGGTGTGCGTGTGCAGGGGGTCAGTGGGTGGCTAGGGCTTAAAGCCCCGAACATTTAGATTGAGTCTAGGATCATGAAGCCCAGCCTCTCTCAAGACAAGTTTCTGTGAATCCTGTCCTTTTTTTTTTTATAGCTCAGCTTCCCCTTGACTAGTTATTTTGATTATCTCCATGTTTAGCCTAGCATGCCTCTACTCTTCCCGTCCCCCGGTGTTTCTTCAAGCAGAGTAGAAGTTCGGGAAGACGAGGATCATTTTCTCCTATTAATGTCACAGCATATGGCACTCGAGAGTTCCATAGCAGTTTGCATATAAGAATATAAAGTCCTTAGCAGGTAGATAATTGTTCATTACCTTCTCTGCAGCACTCTGAGAACTGGAGGAAGAGGCGCTGTTTATTTTTGTTAGAGTTATCTAAAGTGTTAGCACACGAGATGAGGAAGGAAGAAGGAAGGAGAGTTAAAAGAAGATTGAGTTGATCGGTATTAGGGTTATCAGAGGATAATGTTGCTAGCCAATCTGAAAACCCAAGCAATTATTTTGTTTACAAGCAAATCCTGTAAAGTAGAGAAGTCTTCCATTAGGTGTAGAAGGCAACACTTTTCCTAGATTAAGGAAAATCGTCCTTGAAACCATAAGACCTGTGATCCTGATTCACTAATTGGACTCTGGTTTCCTTTCTATATTCTCTATGTCTGTTTGCTCTGAAAAGATTGTGAAAAGCCCATGCTGCTGGCCTGCTGGTGCAAGCCTGTAATCCCAGGGATTCGGGAGGCTGAAGCAGGAGGATTGATCGTTGGAGGATAGCCTCAGCAAGTTAGGAATGCTCTAAGCAATTTAGTGAGACCCTGTGTCAAAATTAAAAAATAAAAATAAAAAGGGCTGGAGATGTGGCTTGGTGGCAAAGCACCCCTAGGTTCAATCCCTAGTATCAAAAAAATAAAATAAATAAAAAGCCCATGTTTTGGATAGTTATTTCTCATTACAGATAAATGCAATAAAATTTTTATGAAACAGAAGCCAAATGTTAAAATATTTTTGTTGTTATTGACAAGTAAGACTTATCAAAACACTTCAATCTCTTAAACTCTAGCAGGATAACAGTGCAGTATTACCGTGGCCTCATTTGCACCTGGGTGGCACCTGCAGGCTTTCAAAACCAATCATGTCTGCAAGTCTACGCCCAGATTCCTGAAGTCCACTCCAGGATGCATAAACATGTGAGATATGATATAACAGCCTAAATGGCCTGCCAATTTGCAAAACAGGAAACATCAGAATGACTTTGACAGCACACCTGAGGCTTCTTTGGCATTTTTGGATAGTAATTGCCTTAGAATACTTCTCTAGGACATAAAAGTGTCTTTCTAAAAGCTGGGCAAAAAGTGCTATAATAATACTGTGAGGGCTGGCGTTGTGGTTCAGTGATAGAGCGCTCACATAGCAGGTGAGATGCTGGTTTCAATACTCAGCACCACATAAAGATAAATAATGGTATTGTGTCCATCTACAACTTAAAAAAGTATTTAAAAAATAACAATAATACTTTTCAGCTTGTCAAAGGCTTTCAAATGTTTAGGGAAAGAAAAATTACTTTTCTTTGAACAGAGGTTTTAATTAGGAGGTAAAAAAGACCACCAGAAATAGTATCTTTAGTATAGTATATTTATAGGAATGCATAACATGTGAGATGTACATCTGAAGTTTCATCCATAACTTATAACATTTACTGTAGTAATAATAACAAGACAGCAGGTCATCACTTTACAACATTACACATGAGTGATTTTGACTTACAAATAAAATATTTACAACCTACCTTTACAAAACGACGTTGTGTGCATACAAAATGAACAACTGCAGAAAATTTTAAAAATAATTAAACAACCAAAAACCCAGAAGATACACTTAAGGCAGACCAGCAAGACACTGAAATAATTAAGGCTGTGGAATTCTTCTGCACCTTGAAAATATAGAGCTATTTATCAATACTGTGGAGTGATTTAAACTCAATTGTTACAAGCCTGATGGAAGTATGTACTTATATGTATATGCGTAATGATCCCTATGGGGAAACCTGTCCACTTATGGATAAGGCCTTTTATCTGAATGGCCAGAGAAGCCCACTGCAAATTCTCAAAAAGATTTGGGGGGGGAAGGGATCACTCAAAACCAAAAGGTGCCAATGCAGTTTGCAAACCCACTAATAAATATTCAACTGTAAAGATACATCTGACTCCAGGGAAACAGAATAGACTGAATGATGGTCCCACTGTTTCACACTTTGTTACTTTGGCTTTGTGGACTTCAAAAGACAGCAAATGAATTCCTACATGAGTGGAATTTGTCTCCACGAATTAGCCCTCGTGGTTTTGAATGGCCCTAAATGGTGTTCCAATAGAAGAACTGACCCACCTGGGCTGTCTGCAAATGGATAGATTTCTGCATATGAGCAATAACATATACATACATATAATACACTATATACATGTACAGATGTACATATATCTATATTTTCCAACAGTTTGCATTTTAATCACTGTTCTCTGAATAGGATCTCATTCTCAAGAGTATGATTAAAAGTCTTCATATTTGTCCTACTACGAGTTTTACTCACCTTCCCCATAGAATAGGCTGAAGTTTGGCAGAAACAGAAGTAAAAGCACCAGGGTTAAAAAAAACAAAAACAAAACCAGAGATGATAGATATGGCTTAAGTTAGTAAGAGAAGATGTATACTTGGTTCATTTCAAATTCATAGCCATAGTTTTTGAGGTCACGGTAACAGTCTCCATAATACTCCAAAATGTGGTTTCAGTTCTTGATGAAAAGTACTGATGGAACTCCTATGCTGGTTATCCCCTGGCTAGCAAATTCACTTGGTTAAATTAAAACAGTTGACATTTCAAGAATTGCTATTTGCACTTTTCCAACACACCTGCTGTTCTCAGCTAACCTTACTATCTGAAACAAGTTAACTGACTAAATTGTTGTTTTCATCATTTTAATAAAAACTAAATCCAACAACATTTTAGAATTTCTCAAACAGGCTGATGGGAAAACATAATACCCTGTGAGAATTAACTTCAGATTTTCTATAAGTGTCTCTTAAAGATGAAACATAGTCTTAGAGTGTTTTATTTCTCTCCTCTGACTTCTATATATAATGAAAATGAGGAAGAAATGCCTTTCATTAAAAACATGGCCTTATGATTTTCTATATTCTACTATATCTGTATAGGGTTTCCATGTAAGTAATATTTCAAATGAAAAATATCTAGTGCTATTGACAAATTTCGGCCCTTTTTAAGACTCCTCTAGAATTAATGAAACATTTGTGAGCCTTATTGTTTTTAGAAAATAAATATTAACCAAGTAGCTTCCTTTTTCTTGATGGAGCACGTGTGAGATCTGTCTTCCCTCAACCTACCCTGGGTCTAATCATTCTTTAACAAAGAGCCCTACATTTTAAATAGCAAAGAAATATCATGATGCAATTTTACAAATAAATTCATTGAAAGTTCATATGATGTGATTGCCAAACCCAGACTCCAAAGGGATGCTACCCAGAAAAGAAAGGAATAAGGTCTACATTCCCCCAAAACTCATCCAGTACAATTCATGGGCTACCCAGAATAAGGATGTGGTGAGTTTGCACTTTTGCCCTACTAAGAGACCCTTTCAGTTCAAAATATTTCCTCCTCTATCAAATGCATGGGACAAATTTTTAGTTAATGCACAGAAATAACCACCATTTCATTTACATCATATTTGCTCCCTTGTATTCTCATAAAACTGAATTTCCATGCTCTTCTACATAGACAAGAAAAATTAATGACTAACTCACAGGAACTAAATTATGGAGGCTTTGGAACAACAAATATGCTACTCCTGAAAAAAAAAACCTGACTATCTAAAAAATAGATACAAAGCATTTCCTCCAAGAACCCATAGTCCAATTCATTTCTATACCTACACATTTAATTCGCTACTTCTGATGTATTCTTTTGAGACTTTGAAGAAATGAATTGTTATAGGGAGATATTCTATTCCACTTCTGCCCTCCCAGTAAGGAAAGTGACTATTTGGGTTCTTTTCTGTCCATTTTTCCAGAGCATAAACTTTGAGAAGAGAAGGTAACAGTAGCTTTAAAGGGCATCTTATTCTTCATGTCTGCCATAAGAAATATTGGATAAAACTGTGTGGACATAAGACTTCATCAGCTCTCCTAACCCTTTTCTGTCGATAAGCTCTTAAATGATCAAAACTATAAGGTAAGACCAAATCACATTTAGACAAAGAGCACCTAGTACTTCCAATTAAAAGCAATTTATAAGATTTAACCTCACGAGTTCATAAATGGTATCTAAAGACATGAATATTGAAAACCTGGAATGTTCAAAGTTACTATCAATAAAACTCTTAGCACTGGCAGTGTGTAGCACTTAAAAAAAATCAAAGTATTTTATAGACGTCCCAACTATAGTTATTTTCTCAATATTTGTAAGAGATTAATGTTCTCCCTCCTTCCCCCCTAACTCCCATTTTACCAATGGGTATATTTGGGGCAGGAAAAAAAAAAAGACTTTCTGTAAGAAAGGATGAATCTGGAATAGCTGAGGTTGAAACTCAAGAATTCCTGGTCCCATCCTATATTCAGATGTTTTCATACTTTAAAATAAAGAAAAAATACTGCAATATTAGTAAATCTAAATGCAATGAACTTCTTCATCTCCCGTCCTCCCCTCTGAAAGGCACTACTATTTATAAAAGCTTTGTGGACCACAAAGCAGCGAAGCCAGCTTTCTCCTCTGCCTCCTTCACTCCCCCTTAGATTGTTTATGGCTGGGAGAGACCTGAAGGACAACTCTAACATTACAATTTTTTTTTTCTTAAAAATTTTACCACATTCAGTGTAAGTGGATAAAAATGTATTTAATTTGAAACAAATGTAAAAGACGTAGGAAATTATTACACTTCTTACAAGTGACCATGGGTTGTCCCTGATCTTTTCCTTCATTCTGCATCCCACCCCTACAACATAAAACAAAAAAAGCTCTAAACACTATGCAGGAATGTAAGCCAAGCAAGACACCTGTGACTTTAACCAACATTTGTTTTTCTCATTTTTCAGCTGAACATTCACTCCTACTAAGCACTACCATGTTTATAGAAGTGGACTATTTTCTCTTTTCTCCCCTCTTCTCTGCTACCAAGTGATAAATCTCTCTGCCAAAACAGGTACAAGAGAGAGGTCCTGATCCTTCTCCCCTGCTATGGTTGCCCACAGAGCAACCTAAACTATATTTCTCAGCCTCATCTTCTGGGTTGTCTTATTTTCAGGTTGTCTTATTTTGCTATAGAGAATTATTGAAACAAGACCATTATTTTATCTCTATTGGAAGGGACCAGGAGCTTTGCAGATAGGGAGCCTCTCCATCAGTTTTCTTCAGTTATCAAACTATATAAAATATACTCCCTTTCTCTTAGGGCCTCTGTTAAGTTCATTCTATTCTAATGATTGTACTTTGGCTCCAGTTAACAAAGTCACATTACTTATCATTTCTATGTCCCTCCTTTCTTGTCTTTCCCAATACATGTTCTTGGGGGTGGATTCCATGCAGCCCGCATCTGGATTATCTTATCTCAGATATAAAAGTGAATATGAACGCTTTGGCTCTAACATTCTGTTGACTATCCAGCTCTGCCACAGGATTTCAATACTGCCCTCCTGTAGCAGTGTGAGCACCCCCTAGACCCTCCCCTCTCCAGCAGAAACTTAGCTTGTCCTAACAACTCTAAATGACTCTCGGAAGGAAGCTGTTTATTCAGGTTATTCACAGTGGAAAGAACTGGCCAAGCCACATTTTATGGATATTTGGAATGCTCAGATCCTGCAATCTATTCCATGATAATCCCTATGGACCAGGCTTCCCTCTGTTGTGCTACATCCCATAATGAAGAGATATTTATTAGAGTGGCTTTTAGTAAACATACTTTAAACTTTAAAATATTGTATCATATAGGATCATGTGTGTACACACAGAACAGCTTCACTGGAGACTGGGCAGGGTTGGAGCCCTGGGAGGGGTGAGGCTGGGTGACCCAGGGCCATTTGAAAACTAGGAAACAAGACAGTCGGAGTTAGTTTCCATATATTTGGTTAATCCCCCAAATATTAAGTGCTATCTAGCCTTATTGCTTGTACTTTCTACTAATTTTTAAGTCTATAATCTTGGATGGTATGAGGTGGAGAGTGGATGAGTAAGCTGACCTTGAAACCAATGGGAAAGAATGATGAGTATTTTTCATTCTACATTTCCACTGTGGGAATAAGTGTCTTTATAGATAATGTTCAGGCTTAGTTTCCATCATTTCCTTTTCATCTAATTAGCTTTGTAGTTGTATTGACCCTCTGTGGATACTTTGCTTACACTTTGTTGCGGCATGATTTTAATATTCTCAATCCCATTAGTAGGAGAGAAGAAATGCCATTTAACCTGATTTGAACAAACACTTGAATTACATTTTTTTTAGAATTTTATCTGAATAAAAGCAATTTTCAAAACACATTCCAGAAAACAAGAAGTGGATCATGTACAAACACAAAAACCAATCCCCTCCCTCACCCCAAAAAAAGCAAAAACTATGAAATGCCCAAGTTTGTTTTCCCATCAGAAGGGAAAAGGGCAGTTAATAATCTTGTATGGAGAATATACACCAGAAAGCAGCATTGGCCTCAAAATACAATTAGTCCTTTTAGTCCAGAGAAATATTGGTGGCTAGGTGGTGATAGGTATTGCAATCTCATTTAAAACTCAACGCTCTATTCAGGTGATGTATCAGGTTTTGCTTCATGGCTTCATAAAGGACTTAGGACCAGGCCTTTAAAAGGCTTGTATGGCTGCCTCCTTTTGGTAAGCACCCCTTAGCTTCCAAAGGGGTTAGAAATAAAACAAGCCAACTTTCTGAAGACTGTTTTCTACAGTTGTAGAAGAAATCAGAAAGTATTGGTACCTTGTTCATTGGACTGTAGAAAGGTTTCTGTTTGCCCTTTTGTATGAACCTGTGGTATCGGTTTACCTATTTCAAGCCAGGTGTAGACATAAAAATAACCCCACAACTCTTACTGGATTTGGGCTTGTTTCCTGGCAGGCTTTCTTACCAGGTGAACTCTGAGCCTCCAGTACATTCAGGGGTAGCATTTCATATATAGAACCTATCTTAATCAAATAACTCATGATTGAGAGGAAAAAAATCTTCTCATTCACAGATTGCAAAAGGGTAACATTGCTTTCACTTTATGCACAGGTTCTGGTAAAAGATTTCTATACAAGATTTATAAAATGCTCTAAAAAACTTGTCATCTAATTGTGCTTAGTCAAAACAATGTAATGCTTCGGTAAATAAATTATTGTCTTAACTGGAGCACTTAAAGTTACTTATGATTGATTTCATATATAACTCTATATTATAAAACTCTGAAACCTGAATGGGATCTATTATACTGTATGTGTATATGTATCCTATTAAGAAACTATATCTAAGTCATTTAAACCAGAATAGTTGACATATATGACATTTCTGTTAAATAGATTTTTTTTTTGTAAATTTTCAGCAAAGTCAGAAACCTATAACACTCACCCTTCTGAGCTTAAGGTTTGCCCACTTAGCCACTCATTTTTGGAATGTACAATTAAAATTTTATAGCTGCTAATATTCTTGTTCTTCTTGCCCTTTCTTTTAATACTTTCTGCAACTCTTTGCATCTTTATTTTTTTTTTTCAGGATGACCTTCTGGAAAGTCCCTGGATTTAGGGTGATTTTACTGCTGCTCAAACCCTGAATAACCACTGATGAGATTTAAGAGGACATCTCTCAATTCAGAGAACTGCATGGGTGAAATCACAAACAGAATTATGTACAGACATGTTCAGTCTTGCTTTGGTTCACACCACACTTCTATGTGAAACCTCTGGGGCTGGGAGATGGCTATGTCCCTTGGTTCACCCGGTTGACGATGTAGCTCTTGACATTGGGAATAGGACGCACATCATTCTGGTGCTTGCGGCGTTCTATGAAGCATGCCAGGCGAGAGGTGTCCAGGGGGATCTTGGAGTAGCTGCCATTGTGGGGCTGCAGCCAGGGATGCTGCAGGCAAGTGGCTGCTGTGGGTCGCCTCCGAAAGTCCTCCTGTAGGATCACATTGATGAAATCTCTGGCAGCATTGCTCACGCCACAGAAGTATTCGTGGGGGAAGCTGAAGTCTACCCTGCATACGTTGATACATGTCTCCTCTTTGCTCTCATCTAAGAAGGGGGAGACCCCACTCAGCATGACGTATGTCAGAACCCCAATGCTCCAGATGTCTGTGCCCAGGGAGACTGGGATGCCTTGGATCACTTCTGGGGCAGCAAACTCAGGGTTCCCCAGCAGGTGGTGGATGTGGAAGTGGCCCGAGATCTGGACAGCATCTTCCAAGTCAATGAGCTTCACCCGAGGCACTGGAATCCGTAGGTCAATGAGTAGGTTTTCAGGCTGCAGGGATCCAGGGAGAAGAGAAGGAAGTTGAGTTCTTTAAGTTTTTTTTGTTTGTTTGTTTGGGGTATAGAAAATTGAACCCAGGGGTGCTTAAGCACCGAGCCACATCCCCAGCCCATTTTTAATTTTTTTATTTTGAGACTGGGACTTGCTAAGTTGCTTAGGGCCTCACTAAGTTGCTAAGGCTGGCTTTGAACTTGGGATCCTCCTGCCTCAGCCTCTTGAGCTGCTAAACTACAGTCCCAACCCCAAATATCATATCCTCTTAACTACCCTTTGCTTTAGCATTGAATCAAGAAAGGAAGAAATTATTCTTTTGGAGAATTAGGGGCCTTTATTTATTTATTTATTTATTTATTTATTTATTTTTGTGCCAAGGGTTGAACCCAGGGGCACTTAAACACTGAGCCATATCCCCAGCCCATTTTTTATTTTGAGACTGGGTTTTGCTAAGTTGCTTAGGGCCTCACTAAGTTGCTAAGGCTGGCTTTGAACTTGGGATCCTCCTGCCTCAGCCTCCTGAGCTACTGAACTACAGTTCCAACCCCAAATATCATATCCTCTTAATTACCCTTTGCTTCAGCATTAAATCAAAAAAGGAAGAAAATATTCTTTTGG